TCCGGGAGGCGTGGTCCGAGTGGAAGGCGTTCAAGAGCGAGAACCCGGCGCAGTACGCGCGGCTCGTGGTGCAGCGCAACCGCTGCGCGTCGGCGCTGCTGCTCATCGTCATCTACTGCGGCGTGGGCGGGCTCGTCTTCCGCTTCACCGAGGGCGCCTTCGAGGCGTTCTACAAGTGCGGCGTGAAGCGCGTCAAGCGCAACTTCGTCGACGACCTGTGGCTGAGCAGCCACCACCTGCGCGAGGAGGACTGGAAGTCGCAGGCGCGCAGGCGGCTCATGGAGTTCGAGAACCAGCTTCACACGGCGCACGAGGCCGGCGTCACCTCGTACAGCGGCCAGCGCTCCTGGAGCTTTCTCAACGCCGTCGTCTACTGCATCACCGTCGTCACCACCATCGGTAAGGCGCACCTCGGCCTCCTCTATCTTTCTCTCTCTCTCTCGCGTTGCTGGGAGCAGTGGGTACGGTGACAGGCGCCGTCCATTCAGCACTCTCTGCTCGCTTTACAAGTATCGTGGCGTACAAGTAATTGCCTTACTCCTTTCGTCTTCCTGGCAACGTCGGGGACCCGTACTGAGGTGGTTGGCATGGTGCATCCAGAAGTCTCAGTTTGTCTTTTCGTTTCAATAGGGGTAACACTGGTGTATTGCGACTTTCAAGGAGTTGTCGTTCTCGCATCTTGCTGGGAACGTGGGGATCGGTATTGACGGTGACAGGCGTTGTCCATTCAGCACTCTCTGCTCGCTTTTGTAGGGTCAATATATGTATCGTGTGTTCAAGTGATTGTCGTCCTCCTCTCGTCTTCCTGGCAACGTGGGGAGCCGTACTGAGAAGATTGGAGTGGTGCATCCAGCAGTCTCTGTTCATCTTTTAGATTCAATAGGGATAACACTGGTGTATCGCGACTTACGAGCAGTTGTCGTCCTCTCGTCTTCCTGGAAACGTGGGGATCGGTATTGACGGTGACAGGCGTCGTCCATTCAGCACTCTCTGCTCGCCTTTTAGATTCAATAGTGTAACATTTGTGTATCGTGACTTACGAGCGGTTGTCGTCCTCTTGCCTTCCTCTTAACGCGGGGATCTGTACTGACGGTGGTTAACAACGTCCATCTAGCACTCTCTTCTTGCCTTTTAGATACGATGCTAGGTGTATCGCAGGGTGCAAGTCGTCCTACGAGTAATTCACGCCCATCTCCCGCCTTTCAGGGACACTGGGATATGTTTTTAGAGGTAGGTAGTAAGTGTCGTCCATTCAGCGTTATTTCCATGTTTCAGATTGAATGACAAATGTATCAGTGAGTGTAACGCGACCTACGAGTAATTGTCGTCCGTCTCCTTCCTTGCTGGAAACTTAGAGCTCCTTATTTATGAAGATCTGGTACTGAACGTGGATTCAGTACTCTTTGCACTTCTTTTAGATACAGTGCTAGGTGTATTGCACGGTGTAACACGAGGTACGATCAAATTGTCCTCTCACCTTCCAGGGAACTCAGATATTCCTTTCTATAGTGGCATGCGTCGTCCATGCAGCATTTTTTGCATATCTTTAAATTGAATGCCAAGAATAACACACAGTGTAATGTGGCATATGAGTAATTGTCGCCCTTCTCCTTCTTTGCTGGAAACAGGGAGCTCCGTATTTATGGAGAGATCAATAGACACTCGAGAACTCTTTGCACTTTGTTTTGATCCAATACTAGTGTGACACAGTGTGTTACTTACTGTAGGAGTAACTATTGCCTATTTTCGCCTAATTCAGATAACAGGACTTGTAATGCTACGCATGACCCACTCAGTATTTCTTGCACCTTTTTTAGATTTAATGACACACTTGACATGACTTGAGACGCGCAGAACTGTTGTCAATCGGTACATCCCTTTCTAGTTCAGTGCTATGTGTAACCCAGGAGACTTATACCGATAAGCAGTAGCATAGACTTATCAATTGTTGCGTGGTGACATAAGTGACATTTCTCTCGTTAACTTTGTCATCATCGTCACTATCATCAGTAACCCTTCTGAGGGGAATTTAACTCTTGCAGTTGAAGATTCTTATACTTGGTTCTGGATTTAGTACTAAATGTCTTTACCCTAGTAATATCTGCACTACTTTCTTTCGCAAAGTCAGGTGTAATGCTGTCATAAAACAGACATGAATCACCAACAATCACTAGTACTAAGCATCTTCTTGAGTATGTACCACCGGATGTAGGAAATCTTTACAAGTGTTTTTCATTTACCTCAGCATTATGTTACACTACACAATCTCGTCTCTGACTAGTACTGCACTACTGTCGCCAAAGCCATTGCTAAGCATTTGAAGACCCAATCCTCTAAGTTTTCTCTTCCAAACCCTTTCCCTGGGAACTTGGAATTCCAAGTTTGAAGCGTTCAACGTCTAGGGACCCACCTCCCACTAACAGTGTATCAGCAGACATGAATCAACAGCGTAATCTTTCGAATTAAATGACTCTTATGTGATGCGGCAGAACTTTGTCTAGCTTGTTCAGATCTTTGTCGTCAGTTCCATGTTAATTCCAGCTGACCTCTGAATCATTAGTGTTTAAAATGGATGAAGACTGCGTAATTGCAAGATTGGTGCATTTAATATTAAGACGCATTACAATTTTGTTACATGGAATATTGAGTTGCATGGCACGTACTCACCTGTCTTAAACCAGAGCAGTTGAAACTAACCTACTTTTGAATTGAATTGAATTGAATTGAATTGGCCTTATTTTACGTGGCGAGACTCGGGCCATCAGGCCCGCTCTTCCGTCTGACCACGCAAATTTCGCTACGCTCCTTTCACCAACTAGGAGAGAAAGGAGGTATTTCTTGGGCGAGAAACAGGCGATTTGAATTTAGCTCAGAGGCGTCATTTAGGCTTGAGGATCTTTTACATGCAAGTAAATCTACGAACATGGGACAGCCGGCTTTACTTCCCCTCCGAAGGAAGGCGTACGACGGATTTAAAACTACTACTAAAGGACTACTACTAAAACTACTACTAAAGGATTTAAACTAACCTACTTCACACTACCGGGGGCCAGCCATCGTAACCAATGAGGGAAGACGGCCATGAGTGTCACGAGCATGTGCCTTTCTAATTTTAATTTAAAAATGCTTGAGTCAATTTTAATGATAATGTAATACAGTGTTTCTAATTATTAGAATTTATTACGGCAAGGGCAACATTTCCTTGTTTTAAATACAGTTTTATTATATATTTCATTTCTGTTGAACCTCGTTAGCCATGGATAAGTCATAGATAACACTAAATCCCGAAAATCACTAAAAACATTACTATAGCCAGACAAAACGTTGTCAATGAGTTACAATATAAAAATGTTCAGCAAAGGGCAAGAAATTCGACCATTTCATGACGAGACTAGAGATTTCACTTGCTGAGGACGACAGACCGAGGTGAGGAATCCTGTCCAGTCATGAAAGGGTCTTTTGTCGTGTGATGTACAATACTTGTTTCCAGACCCGAGATGCTTTTCCGAAATGAGTGGAAAGTATTGTCAAACAGCTCTTTAATAAATCGTTCAATTACAATAAATGTAAAGTGTTTCAAATAAAATATCAATTGACAAGTGCATGTTTTGAATATATTGAAAGCTATCTCAACATGTTTTGACATGGAACCTTTGCTATGTGGCTTGCTGATAGTTTTTTGTTTCTTATCTAGATGAAGACGTGGCCTGTGTCACAAGTAAAGCACTGTAGGTGTTGAGAAATTAGATCTATAATACGTTATTATTATTATTGTCTTACATTATTCACAGTATCTA